CCAGGCAAGGCCCCCTGTCCTCCAAACGTCCTCCGCTGCCTTCCTGCAGAATTAAGGGTTCTGTATGGTGTGGCATGGGATGAGGTCAATGGGAGCATGACAACATGAGTTACCTCACCAGGTGATGCCAACTCTAAAGACCCCACTGGTTCTCTCTAATCCACAAATTTTACCTTGTCACCCACTATCTGTCTGACAACAGAGTAGAACCCTTCCTTTCTCTAGATCTGCAGTTAGGATTATGTAGTTCTTCAGGTGTTTCTGAACTGCAACTCCTGCCAGCCTTAGCTAGTATAAACCAATAGTGATCAATACTGTGAGTTCCAACGCAGCAACATCTGGCAAGTCAAATTATTCGTATTCCCCATCACAAACAAGTTCTACAGTTTTCTTAATAATAGGGGGTATTTTGAGCAGTCTTTGAGCAAAAATTGCACCATAAATTTGGAGAAGTGCACAATCCAAAAAGCAAACAGAATTCCAAAAACTTCAAGTTTTTTCTATTTTTCTATTTTTAGTCATCTGTATTGAGAACAGAATAGAGGGGAAGGGATAAACCTATTTTAAAGGTGCTTTTTATGTAGTAATCTCGCAAACTTTTAAAAGGCCACATTATATGGGAAAGATGCAGAAGCTGTTAGTAAAGTCTAATAGAAAACATTTTCCTTCCAAAATGCTAGGACAACATTAATTATTAAATGGACAGTGGAACCTTTTTGAATGAGAAAAAGCAGAAGCCAGGTTGTCATGTTGGCATTTTTGTTTCCACATTTCTTTATCGCCAACTAAAGAATGTGTTTTTCATTTATACCTACCTGGCACTTTATGTAGCCTAACAAACACTTCAGTGCATTTTAAGAAAAGGCAAACTGTCATACTAATGATATGTTACTTCCCCACTCCACCCCCCACCAGCCCCACCATTTGAAGGGGTAATTTAAATTGTCTTCCCAAGGCATGGCTTGCATTATTGTGCTAAAATATATGCAAGTTAAATACGGAGAATGGATAGTGTAGGAGGAAAGGGAGGGGGTTACCCCTTCAGCTTTAACAGTTTTCCCCCCTGTTCTTTTTTTGTAATATAAATTGCTGTCTCTAGTAAAGCTTAAAGAATGTGTTCTGCTCTTATTAACACATCTTTTCATATTCAAATTGATGGTAAATGTTCCTGGAATTTCTCAGGGCTGGTTTTTAACAAAGTAAAGCAGAAATTGTTGGGTTTTATTTCTGACTTGTTTCTCTCTTGAATTGGTAACTGAACAAGGAAGCAATCGTGTTGTTACCAGGTGCCTTCAAGTCATTTCTCACTTGTGGCAATCCTAAGGCAAAACCATCACAAGTTGTTGGGGTTTGTTTGGGGGGGCTTTGCCAGATTTTAGGGGGGCACTTGCTGTTGCCTTCCTCTGAACTGATTGAGAGAGACTTGCCCTAGGTCATCCAGTGGGTTTCCATCGCTGAGCCAAGATTCCAACCCTAGTCTCCTGGACTCTCAGGGGGGATGCAGAGAGGTGGCCCTGGGAAGCAGAAGATTGGGGCTGCTGCTACCACATGCAGTGGCCCCAATTCTGCCATTTGCTGACTCGGAAAAGAGCGGCAAAATGCCACTCCTTTCAGAGCTGCAAAAGGGCGCCCTAAGAGCCGTCACACAGCTCTTTAGTGTCCCTCCTGGCACAGTGCATAAGGACGCTGCACCAGAAGGATGTTTTGACATTGCGCGCCATGCGTAACAGTGCATGGCATCATAACGTCCTCGGTGTGGGGTTGGGGTGTCCAGTGTGCTGCTGCCCCTCCCCATCCCTGCCTCCAGGCCGGCCTTTTGGGCTGGTCTGTAAAGGCCCTTAGTCTAACAGTCAAACCACTGCACCATGTTGGATTTCCCTAAACACACAAGAAGGAACTTTGTCCTATTGAACTGCATTCCCTGTGTTAGCATATCTCTTCTGCTGGATATGGAGTTTCATAAATAATATCTAGAATCAGACATGTTTTCAGAAGTCACAATGACCTGTAAAAAGTAGGAAGTTACATGTGGAACAAGTCATGGTGACCTGGGGACATGCATGAGATCTACATAGGACAAAAATAAATGCTAAATGGGTTTGCTGATCACTCCATTCCCCCCTTCCCCAGCTCTTCTAATTTTCTCTCACAAAGGGAGTCCCATTGCAAAGCAGTCAAAGGCCATATCTTCCACCTCAACTCCTGATGTATTCCTGTTCACCCTTCCTGCCCAACCATCTGGAATTGTCACAGATCCAATCAATATTTTCTCATTCTGGAGCTAAAAGCAGCAGCCAATCTGACTTCTTTTGTCAATTCCAAAAGAATACCATCTTGGAAAACCATCAAAGCCTTTGTAACACCATGTGGTAACATCAAGTACCCTTTGAGGATATAAAATAGGATATAAATATCCACCCCAGCACATATGTGCACAGAGGGTGCCACTCACTCTGTGTAGCCTTCAGACATCATCTGAGCCACATTCTGTTTTCCATGGACTCCTCTTCAGGACTGGTAATTACTTCCCTCTTTAACTCACAATTCATCACTATCCAACCTACCTCACCCTTCTTTCTGATAGCCTTGTATGGTTCTTAAGGTTTGTATGTTTGCATGCACCCTTGCATTTTTCTAAATAAAATCCTTTTATTTACTGAACCTAGGGTACTCTCTGCAGTTATTACTGGTATACACAGGTGAAAAGATCCCCAAAATTACACTCCTCTCACTGTCCTCCTTTTGTGCTATAATTTCCCCAGAATTTTAAGGAGATTCTGACACTACTGGTGGGGACCACCAACATCCTCCCATCTTTTAGGGTAACACCTACCTGGAATGACAGTATGGACATTCCCAGATAAATGACTTTCCTGTGTGAAATACATTGTTCTCAGTGTGAATAAGATGTTTTCTCAGTAGAAATGTGCTTCTGCACAGAAAAACTGTATAGATTTTTTCACAAAGACTCTGGGGAACCTCACAGAGTGCAAAGAAACTCATGGGTGCCTTTACTCCACCCAACCAGGTTTCTTAACACTTAGGAAACTGTGGGCCTTTTCATGCTACACAATTATAGTGTTATGATTCCCACCTTAACTGTCATGGTTCTATCCTTGTTTTTGAAATTTTAGTTATTGTTGTGTGCCTTAAAGTTGTTTCTGACTTATGGTGACCCTAAGGTGAATGGTTTTTACTTGGAAAGATTTGTTTAGAGAAGGTTTGCCATTCCCTTCTTCTCAGGCTGAGAGAGTGTGACCCACCTAAGGTCACTCCCTGGGTTTCCATGGCCAAACAAGGATTCAAACCCTGGTCTTCAGAGTCCTAGTCCAACACTCAAACCATTAAACCACATTGGCTCTTTTACAATTTAAGGAGAGGAATGGAAGGAATATTTATTTATAATTTGTTTTCCTGTTGAGACATTATAAATCCCTAAAAGAAAAGTATTGATAATGTCTCAACAGGACAACAAATTTTAAACAAATATTACTTCCATTCCTTGATCTGTGGAAGAGAAAAGAAACAAAGCAAGTACAAAAAAAAATGGGCATGATGTGCTGACTTTTATGGATAACCTTATACTTTCATCTCACCTTTCTTGAAAGTCAAGCAGATATTTAAGGAAAAGATCAGGTGCACTTGCTTTTTGTTTTTTTAACCAGGGCCCTTGTATTTCTTCATAAAGGTAACCATTTGGCAGGGGCTTTTAAAAGCAAGAGAGCTGCAAATCAGCAACTGGATACTTGAGTGGCATTTCTAATACCATTGGATGTAGCACACTTTATGGTAGACCCACTTTCTGTTGTCAAAATAGGGCACTGGGGCTTTGGAGAGGCACATTACTATTAATTGCCATTGAAGTGAGAGTCCAGTGGCCATCAGCACTTATTAGATCAGGTGAAAAGAACTAATGAAAGCTCCATTGAACACATTTAAGTGCCACAAAAGCCTATCTTGCTGGTAACATACTGTTCTCTGACCTAACTTTTATTGAAAATGCAGTGAGGAAAATTGTTTGAAAAAGTTGAAGGGCTGCCTATACATGCGCTTCATAGTGCATATGTGTATCTGTCACCAAGTTCCTTGTCAAGTTCTGGCAACCACATGAATTCCATAGGGTTTTCTTAGGGAAGGAATATTCAAAGGTAGTTGTCAGTTCCTTCCTCTGAAATATAGCCCCCAGCACCTATTATTCATTGACACTTTATAATACAGATCAACAAAAAGGAACAATTAACACATCTGAATGTCTAATGACATTAAATCACTAATCCAGAACAGAATTTAGAAAGTTACTTTTTAAAAGTCACTCATTATTACAGTGCTTTAAAATACCCTAAAAGTAATGGTAATCCATTAGGTTTTTGGCAAAGTAATTCATTTTGTTACTTTACAAAAAAAAGTAATTTGTTTTCTTACTTCTACTCCTTTGTTGCTGTTCTAGTTCCTCCTATGAATTTTTTT